CATCTGGATGGGGCATTTCATACGTGAGCTTCACATCTTTTTTTATTTCATTGTATTCTTGAGCCTTAGCTCCACTCTCTACAACTTTTTCCAAATATTTTGCATCACTAAATCAGTTATGTGATGAGCTCCTTTCTTAGGCAAAAATGGAGACATGAAAATATTAAATCCCTCATTTCAATTAGCAGAAGGGCGGACTAACAGAATTCTACACGGGTTCTGAGAGACCCATACACCTCTCACATGCATATCGAGATAGAAATATTATTTTCAAATTGATAAACAACACATGACACTGAACTTCTACAATTAGCAGGTTTATAAGCCACAATTCAAAATGTTCCCCTTAACTGAAAATAGATTTCCAATATACTGTACTTTAGTATTATTGATAAGCAATTCTTACACTTGATGGTATTCAGTATAGATGTATTGAAGACATAATGATACCTCCACGGGTACTTGGTTAGTTTGATGCATAACTGTCACCTCATTCCATGTGTAACTACTGGGAGCTATAAGTAATTAAGGGTTAGGCTGTCAGTGATATCTACACGAAAGTGTACAGTGAAGTTAATCCTAAACTCTAACATTTATTGAGCACTTACCATGTGCCGTGCCTTTTATTAAGCCTCCTGCATGCAGTATCTTATTTAATTCTCACAACAACTCTATGAGAAATGTATTGCTCCTACCACCTTTTTAAAGATGAGGAAACTAGACCTTTAAAAGGTCATGTGATTTGCTCAAGATTTCAAGCCAAGTGATGGGCTAGATATTGAACCTAGGCTATCTGAATCCAGAGCTCCCCACTACAATACCAGGAGAAAAATTAGGTCCCACTTTTCTCTCTTTCCTTTACCTCTCGCTTCTTCCATATCAAATAAAAAAAGAAAAAAAAAGGTGAAATCCAGACTAACTCATCAAAATAATAGATCTGAAATCTAATTCAAACTTGGGGCGGAAAAGACAAAGGGGAATAAATAGTACTTCTACTGTTTATTAACCAAAATCTACCTAATGTCCTCACCTGACCAACCATCCCTCATCCCCTGCAGAAGCAAGGCCAGCACAAGTTTCTCTCCAACATCTTCCTACTTTTGGTTAATCAACCTTTCAATAACCTACCAACTACAAATCCCAGTCACATCAGATGAGAGGGTCATGCTGTAGATATGTTTTTCCAGGCCTGTTACATGACACTATAAGATTTACAAGACATCTTTTTAAAAGCAAAAGAACTTTGAAGCAAAACAAAAGAACCCAGAAGAATAAAAGGGGAGCCATCTGGCTTTCAGGCCATGTACCTAGTAAATCCAGTCAGTTGAAAAATATATCTCTAATACAAGGAAATCCGTGAATGACACTTTTGGAAAGAATTGAACTTACTATAAAGTACAAACCCATTTCCTATGGAAAATGCAATAACTTACTGCTTTAGTACAAGCATTCCAGTAAAGAATGCCATTGAACTGGATGCCTCGCTGTGACTGGCTGCATCTGCTGCCCCACAGAATATATACACGCAAAGAGGAAACATGCTGTCTAGAAATAATATACAATTTCCTTTTATTTCCTCTTCTAAGTAGAACAACTCTTCTTTGGGGAACAAATCGGGGTCTTGTAACAATTCACTACCTAATATGTTCCATTCTGACAGCCAGTAAAAATGAGAGAGTCAATGAGGACGGCCCAATTATTCTCAGAAAGGCAAGGGTTTCTGTGATCAGTGCCTTACACGGGCTTCTTATCCAGCATAAAGATCAGTTGCCTGGAATCCAGATCTCCCCCAAATGAGCAAGAACCATTGAGGAAAAAGAAACATATAGATCCTTTCATTAATCCATGTTTTATTTCAGCCTGGCTGAAACATCAGCTGTGTGAGGATGACTGGTGGGAAATAAAGCCACAAAGATAGTTGGGTGTAAACTGTAGGAATCTCCAAGTGCTAAGGCAGGTTGTCATTAATTCAGTGGCTGGCTGGGAATCACAGAAAGTTTCTAAGAAGAGCAGTGACATGACTCTAACCTATGGAAGTCAACGGGAAAACATCATAGGATACCCCAAGGTAGAAGAGATGGAAGGTAGACAGATCAATTAAGAGGCAAGATATGGCAACAACCTAAGTGTCCATCTATGGATGAATGCCTAAAGCAGATGTGGTATATATATACAATGGAATATTACTCAGCCATGAGAAAGAAGGAAATCTTGCCATTTACATGGATGGACCTTAAAGACAGTATGCTTAAGTGAAATAAGTCAGACAGAGAAAGGCTGTATGGTATCACTTATACATGGAATCTACCAAAGCTGAACTTCTAGAAGCAGAGCAGAATGGTGGTTGCCAGGGGCTGGGGGGTAGGGAAAATAGGGAAATGTTGGTCAAAAGGTACAAACCTCCAGTTATAGGATGAGTTCTGGGGATCTAGCATGGTAATTATAGCTATCGATATTGTATTATACACTTGAAAGCTGCTAAGAGAGGAGATCTTAAAACGTTCTCACCGCAGAAAAATGGCAATTCTGTGAGGTGATGGAGGTATAGACGAATGCTACTATGGTAATCATTTTGCAATCTGTGTATAAATATCAAATCAACATGTTGTAGTCCTTAAATTTAAACAGTGTTATATGTCAATTACATCTCCATAAAGCTGGGGGGGGTGGGGGGGTGGGGGGAAGGCCGCACTTGATGGAAGCTGTTGTGCTGGTTAACTTTCATTGTATTTGTTTACAATTTGCTTCATTTCATTTTAGCAAAATTCATCTCATGACTTCAAAGAACTTAACTATTTTCTATTATGTTGCCTATTAGAAAGGTTACACAGGTCCTTCATATTGATTAGTTCAATGGGATAGGATATCCTCTCAAAGTTCTGATGCTTAGAAAATGGCAGACCTATATTTGACATGTACGCCAATACCAACTTAGTCAGCAGAGCATAATGCAAGCACACTCTTCAACTTTTGAGGCTAAGTCAAAAAAGACTTTGCAGCTTCCTCCTCATTTGCCAGAACACTCTCTCCAGGAGCCCTGAGTGCATGTCAGAAGTCTGACTACCTACCCTGAGACCACCAAGCTGGAAAAGCCATGAGTCGGGGTGCTCCAGTCACTCCCAGATGCACCCAGACTTCAAGCCAATCCTGCAAAAGCACCAGACCTGTGAGTGGCGATGCCTCTAGGTTCTAGACCCCAGCACTAGAGTCACCCCTGGTGCCTGAGTCCTCCCAGCTGAGGCCCCAGACACCCTGAAGCAGAGACAAGGCTTTTTGCTGTGCTCTGTCCATATTCCTGACCCAAAGAATCCCTGAGCATCATAAAATGTTTTTTCGGGTTTTTTTTTACATTATTAAGTTTTGGGTTGGTTGATTAAGCAGTCATTGGTAACTGGGACCATGTGTACAAAAGAGGTGATAAACCTATTTGCTGTGGAGCTCAAACCTAGAATATGATACTTAGTTTTAGGTGATATGTTTCAAGAGACTAAAAAACAAACATACTCAGAATATTCCTTTATGGAAAAAAAAATTGAAAGAATTGGAGGTATCCAAAACAGAAAAGAGAACAAAAGGTATATACTAACTGTCTTCAAATATTTGAATGGCTATCATGAGTAAAAATGAAAACAATTATTCTGCATATTCCCAGGAGGGAGGCCTGAGGACAGTGAGTAGAAGCTAGAGGGAGTCAGATAGAAGAATTTTCTATTGTTCTAATTCTCTAATGTTCAGGGGTTTCTAGGAAGGAAAGACAGCCTGAAATGGTAGTGAGTTCCCTAGCATTCGAAGTAATCAAGCATAGTCTAGATGATCACCACCTGGTGAGTAGGTTGGAGAAAATTCATTTACTGACCAGAAGGTTGAATAAAATGCTCCTACTTTAAGGTTACACTGTAACACTGAGATGTGTTTAATCTCAAGATCATCCCCATTTCCCTGTGCTAAGAAATCTAATCCCAACACATGTTGAACAGAGGAAAAAAAAAAAAAAACAAGATGAATAAATTAAATTACAGGTAATACCCAAGTATAAATAGAAAGTGATGTAAAATTTTACAGGAGAAAGGAATGGCAAACTAATAGGAAAATATAATAAAGCATAGCAGCAAAGAAACTTTTTAAAAAGATGAAGCATGAAGAATAAGCCAGACAAGAGAGAAATAAAGAGCCAAAGATCCTATCATAGAGGATAATGGCTATAGACGATGCCTCCCTCTTGCTTGAGAAATGGTTTTATTCATTTTTAAGACTTTTCTCCTCTGCCAGTGGGCAAGACAGACCAGAAGAACATGGCAGTGTAGCAGCAGAGGACATAAGGTCTAAATAAGGTAAAATTAGGGAAGCTCTTTAGGGATCACTGCATTTCTGGTTTCAAATAGAGGCCAGAAATTGTGTGTCTATAGGATCAAGCCCACTAGCATGGAAGTTACTGTAGATAACGTCAGAATGTAAGAATGACTACAAAAGGAAGCAAGAAAAACTGGAAATTATATCCTGGTTTCCTAAAAAAGGCCATGCGAAAAAAGAAAACACAAACCACCTAGAAAATGAGATATGTCCAGAGCAAAGCCACGGAAAAAAACCAAAAAAAAGAAAGAAAGAAAACATTTAAAAGTTATCTCAAACACATTTCATCTGAACTTTATCACCATTTGTAATCAACTTCCAAGGTTTCATAACACCCTTTAAACCTTAGTTACGCAACCCACTGAACAAGTCATCTCATTGTTACCCCCACTTGAAGGAAGAGTCGAGAGTCTTTTCATGTTGATAAGAGATAGAAAAAGCAATCACTCCCAGGAAAGAAGTTCTGAGTAAACTCCTGGAGCCTAATGGTAAGGCGAGGTGATAATCTTTCACTTGCCTTAACCCTTTCAAAGATTCCTCAAAGCACAAGTGAAAAATTCATGTGATTGATAAACATAAAGGTAATGTTCATGTCAATAAACAAATTTTTCATTAGAAAAATAGAACAGAGATTATATCTTATTACTCACCCATTTCCTAGGTCGGCCTCTTGGCCGTTTTTCTCCAGTGGCTTCTGCTTTCTGCAAAACGAAAAAGGAAGTCATATGGTTTCCTACCTGACGTTATTTATAAGTGCTGCACCAAGGAACACACTTCAAGTAAGCACGTTCTGGTTTGCAGAGGTGGTATTGAGATTGTTTTAACAATCTCTTTCTCCTTTAAGGTTCATCTTCTCCGTTTTTGAGTAGATTCTTCTTGTTTTTCATTGCATGATGTAAAGAGGTATCTATACAATCCCTCACTTTAAGGCTCCCCTGGAGTGATTTTCTCTTATTTCTAGCCATATAATAATAAAAAAGCATTCCCACACAATTACATAAGGTAATATTTTAGAAAGTTAATGTTTCTTAAATGATTTTTCTTTCCACATCACTACTAAAGTTACAAGAACTAATCTTGATATATTGCTTTACAATTTACAAAACTTTTACCTATATTGCTAGTCAAAAGCAAATCTAAATGTAAGAAAGACATAGGATTCTAATTAAAAAAACAAATATTTGCATACTTCTACATAGTTAATTTCCTATCCCTTGCCCAAAACAATCACCTGTCAATCAGTTCACCGAAAGCAGAAAGAAAAAAAATCTGGAAGAAATCATCAATGTTTGTCCCTGAAATGGAAATTATGGGTTCTAAAAATAAAAATAATAATTGATAAAAAAATGTACATTATTAACAATACTACACTCAACACAGACATGACGTGACTATATTTCTAAGTACCTTGAGAGTCTGTTTCACTGCTTTACTTCATAAAAGATTTTTCTGGTATAACTGTTTTTTCCTTTTTGAATCAAAATTTAACATTATCTATAAAGTAATTTCCCTGTGTTTACCACCTCTACTCTAATCCCCAAATACACAAACGCATACACATCACATCACATACATCTTATATTAAAAACATGTCTATACTTTTCAGGATAAAGAAAACTTAAGTACATATTCTTCTGTGTATGAGAATCATCCCAACGCTATATAAACACCACAATATAGGTAACTTGAGCCAGGATAACTTGTTTTGCATTTTATTTTTGTTATCTGGGGTAGCAGCCAATAGGTACTTGATACAATGATACTAAAATTACCTGTTCTAACTGCCTACACTTCCAAATGAGGCTCTCCTCTTTCTCTCTTCAATCTGCCTGGTAAAAATAGATGGAGATAGATGACAGGTAGATGGTAGATAGATAGATAGATAGATAGATAGATAGATAGATAGATAGATAGATAGATAGATAGATACAGACAGACAAAATAGGTCACAAGATTGCTCACAAATAAAGTCTCCCTGGCCTGGCATTACTATCCAACAGGTCCCATGAATTAATCCAAACTCTGAATAATTGTTAGTTCACATTTATTGAGCATTTAAAATGTCCCAGACACTGGGCTAAATCATTCACATGTGTGATTTTAATCCTTACAACAGCCTTACAAGGTAGGTGTTATTATTTCTCTTATTTTGCAGATGAGCAACCAAGACTTAGGTGAGGCAAATAACTCAAGGTCTTCATAAAGCTGGTAACTGGGATTTGAACCCAGTTCTGTTGGGCTGTAGCGACTGGGCTCCCACCCTCCTAAACAGTGCCACCTTTCCTTAGTATACACACATTTGCTACCATGAGGCAACATTTTAGTTAACTACAATTGTCACTGATTCAGTTAATTTCCCAGAACAGAAGGAAACCTAACCGTCAGATTGGGCAGCCTGAATTGCTGTTGACTAGTTTTCAATGGCTCCACAAAGGAATCATTTATTGTCAGGAGTTAGTGGCACTGTCTTAACTTCAGTCATCAGGGCATGAATTAAATTAACTGAAAGCCAGGAGTGCCCAGTGAATCGCACCCTCTTCCTGAGGGTGGTCTCAGGGAGGGAGCGTGGGTAGTGTCTTAAGAGGAATACCGGCTCCATTTTGGAAAGCTTGGATTCAAATCCCTGCTCTGACATTTTAGCTTTATGACTTCCAGCAGGTTCCTGAAAACCCTCATTTGATTTCCTCTGTGAAAGGGAGATATCGCCTTTGGTAAGGAGTGAAGCACCCACAGTCAATGAGGTGCTCAAGAAATGTTCTTTCACTCCCAACAAGATGGAACTCTCAAAGGGAGTTTTCTTTCAGGTTATTCCAATCTCAGAGAAGGTTCAGTCCATGCAAAATATTCCATTATACTCACCTGTCACCTTTAGAATGAAGCTTTGAAGAAACCCTTTGGCTAGCACCATAGTCAGGTATACAAGCACAAAATTCCCTTATACAGAAGCAAAGTCTGATTTAGTCTTTGGAAGCAACTGAAGATTGTAGAGTTTACCCAGTAGTGAATTACACAAACATGGAAGACAGAAATCCTTTCTAATGGGCACGGGATGACAGGTGGGGATGGGAGAAGGCGGCTATTGACCGTAAAGGCTAACAGCACTACCAGCTACACGGGGCTTTCTCTGTGCAGTTGTTCTGTTTCAGAAGCCATGATGTCATCCGGGTGTATCTAAAATCTGTTGAAGAGAGGGTTGTTTTCAAAAAGGGTTTCGCTGCATTTCCAAGTCAGGGAAAGCAAATCTCTCAAAAAGAGAGAAAGCCCTGCAAATAAGAGTACTTTAAAATGAGCATCTCATCTACAAAAAGCCTATTCAAAAACAAAATTTGCACCATTAACTAAAGGGCAAAATATCACGATTATCACTTGGACTTGTTAAAAGCAAACTTGTTCCTTGGTCTTCAGGTCAGTATTGCATGTAAGCCGAAACCCTCTTCTGAGACCACATCTAGAAGAAACACATTAGCTGTGTGCTGTGTGGCATCGATCTGGGAGGTTTTCATTGTTCTTTAAAACCCACATTATTTAATCATTCTGATCAAACTTCACAAAAGCTGCAAAACAAGTTAGGATTTTAGTTTGTAAACCAGCACAGATCCTGGTTTTTTACATATTGAAAAACATAAGCTTTAACTTTTTTTCCTGTGTTTATTGCTCTTCAGGATATTATTTTTCAACAGAAGACAAAACATTTAGGAGGCTTGTTTTAATATGCTAGCATATGCCAGACTGTGGAGGTGTATATTTGGTTTTCCTTCTCCAGAGTGGAATTTGGTTCTATACCACAAACTCATGCATAACTGAGATGAAAAAACTCATTAACTATTTCCTGCTTATCTGGGGGGTGGGGGTGAGGAAAGGGCGAGAGGGTGGGAATTCCACATTTGCAAGAACTAAAATTTCAGATTGTGACCAGCACTGTTATACTAATATTTGCAGTTCTCATATCTTATGGAAAGTATTATTTCTTCCTTGCTTGTCTTCATTCATATTTTTGCCTTCCTTTAAAGTTTAGATTCAGTACTGTATCTTTAATTTTACATGTTTAGAAGGAGGTTCTTGAAGGTTGGGAAGGATGTGAAATGGGAAACATAATTATTTCTTTCTCTAAGAAGTTCTGATATTCCAGGCTCTTAAATGTACTCTGGACTAAAACATTAAGAAAGTAAATTCATCTAGGAAATATAACTCCTGAACTTGGAAGTGCTTCTCATTAGTGCCTGGTGCACAAGATATGCTTAGTACATCTTTACTGAATGAAAAAAGGAAAGAAAGAAACACTATTGTTTATACCACATGTGCGTGTTTCCCTCTTGCTATCAGAATTCTACAGGTTGGTTGGACTTCTGAGTAGGACTTTTGAAAGCATTTCATCTAGCCCCTTACTTAACAAATAAGAAACCTTCTGGATATGTGATCATCTCCAAAGGCATAGCTCTATGGTTTATTTGATGGCCAGAGTCTGGGAGTACCAGCTGCAGTAGACACACATTTCCCGTCCCTCTATAAGCTTGTAGAGAGCTGCCCTCCAAAGGTTTCTCAAAACCTCACTTCCAGTCTGCACTGCAGGTTACTGGAGATAACCATCTACCTTGTAGCAAATATTTTACAAAATATTTGACAGCACATAGTAATGGAAAGATCCTAAGCTTTAGAATGAGGTTTGAATTCAAACCCAGATGCCACCATTTGCTAGAGTTGGACATTAGACATGTCACCATTTACATCTCTGAATCAGCGTCTCAGTTGTGAAATGAAGACCAAAATGCCGACATTTGGGCATTCAAGGAGCTAATATATAGGTAAAGTGTCTGACAAAAGTGACGGTATTTAGTAAGTACTCAAATGTGATTTCTTCTCTCCCTTGTATTTTAAAATGTCAACCTTAAAAAAAAATACCTCCCAATTCTTTGAGTTGACCTTCTCAGTGACCTTCGGAGCATCATCTTACTTAAGTAGGGCAGCTAGTGCTCCCCCCGTGTCACAAATGGGAGATTAAGCGATCTGCCCACATTCATAAGCAGTGGAACTGAGACCCAATCTGATTTCAAGGCAATTAAGGGTCTGTTCTTCTGGGAGATATTCCAATATAAAATAAAATAGCCATGGGCAAATTTTTAAAAATCAAAACCTTCTAGGGTGAGAAAGAAAGGAGCAGTTAAAAGTAAGACATTCCAAGTTTCCTACAAAGATATGGATGAGCTGAGATTGGGAACCAAGAGAATGATCCAGTTCTGACTTCTGGGTCAAATTTAGGTAGCTAGTAATTTTTTGCATTCTAAATGTGCTCATATTTTATAGGTACTGTGATAATGCAGGAAAGCCAGACCTCCCCCACCCATAATCAATCTGCACCCCACCCCAACCCAAAAAAAGAGCTAGAAAAATATTTGGGCATAATAGTACCTTGTTTTGTTTTCACGTATCTCTATGTACATGTGGATGGATGGATGGATGGATGGATGGATGGATGGATGAATATTTTAAGACTAAAACCTGCAGACCTAAGACCATATGGAGCCAACTATCCAAAGTTTAAAAAGTCACATTTTATTTCTTTCAGTTGTTCTTTAAAAAATATAAACTGTGAATCAATGTGCACTCGCATCAAAATCAACTGGACTCATCAATCAGACTAAGCATTGGGTAATTCTCATTTTACCTTTTTGAGAATCCAGTTCTCTGTGTTTCCAAATGTTAA